TCTCTCTCTCTCTCTCTCTCCTGTGACTACTTCGCGCGCCAGCCATTTGCAACACCTGAACATATATTTCCACGAACACGGGAAGATTCATTCCCTATTTGCAACGTCGAACTCAGAGAGAGAGAGAGAGAGAGAGAGAGAGAGAGAGAGAGAGAGAGCTGCACGGCGAGCTGCGCAGAGTGCTGCGGCAAACTCGCCGTGTCTCTCTCTCTCTCTCTCTCTCTCTCCCTTCTGTGACTACTTGGCGCGCCAGCAATTTGCAACACCTGAATGTATATTTCCACGAACACGGGAAGATTCATTCCCTATTTGCAACTTCAACTAAGAGAGAGAGAGAGAGAGAGAGAGAGAGAGAGAGAGAGAGAGAGAGAGAGAGATGCACGGCGAGCTGAAATCGAATTTGAATTTGTAGCGCCTCACGTCTGCGGGGGCATTGCAGAAAGATGGCTTCCCTTCATGAGGGCATATGGCACAGGGCCCGACAGAAATGGGACGGCCAGTAGAAGGAGGGCGTCCTGGAAAGTTGCGGTCACCACCGACAAGGGCCTGCTGAAAATATTTTTTGGCCGAGGGGCGGGACAGGGTAAACCGGCCGTCGGAGGGGCGCGACGCGAAATAATGCAAAATACAGGGTCGCCAGACAAATTTTCCCTTTTTTTTTCAAGTTTTTTGTTTATTTATTTTTAAATTTTGTATCTTTATTTTTCTAAAACACCTCATACCCCTGCAAAAAGCAGAAATTCATTTCTAAAAAATACAGGTGAACTCAGGGACCATATATCTGATGATAAAAAATGACAAAAAAAAAATCCAACTTTTCTTTATATATATCGTCACAAACAGAACTGCCCGGTAAACCGTAGGCAGAGAGAGAGAAGAGGACAACAAACGAGGGGCTGTGACAAACTGTTTCGTCGGAGTTTCACCGACACATATATTTTTAATTTTTTTAAAATCGAATTTAGTTTTTGATTTAAAAAAAATCCGAAACAAAGTCGGATTCCAAAAAAAAAGGTATGGGGTTGTAGGGCTTAAAATTCCCTACAACCCCATATATATATGTTTTTAACCTATTATTTAATTCAGGAAAATTCTGGTAAAATCGGGTCTGCAGCGCGGACCAGGTAGGCCACAGATGCGGACCCGTCTGCATCCGCCATCCGAGATTGGACCCGCGGACGCATCCGCGGGTGTTACATAGCTTGTGAGCTCTCGGACGCACTACTCACACAAGTGTGAGAAATGGTGAAAGTGACTGGACATAGGAGGAAAAATGCAATGTGTGGATAGTGGTGAATGTCTCTGGCCACCTACGTGAAGAGGCATTTGGTCTTTTTCACGATTTTTGAGTAGTGTAGCACAGCACCAAGTTATGGCGATGTAGCGAGGCAGGAAATCTGGTGCGTACGAGCGAGTGTATGAGTCTGAGGCTGAGCACAAATGTGGAGTGCTGATTTGGGCTATAAGAGATTTCAAGGTCTGGTGTTGGCTCCAATTGATAGGAATATCGGAGACATGGTAGTCGTATGCCCAATACTCTACCGTTTTGGTTTTGGGAAGACCTTCACCTGGAACACTGGGTATGATACACGAGAAGAGACTGAGTGCGAGGTCATTCAAAACTGCAGGGCCAGTTTTCAGAACGCAGGTTTGGACGACATCGGGAAATGGAAATCAGGAGGGGCGTCGGGGAGGACATATGTAATCCCGGATGACGCAGACCTCGGGAGATGGAGGCCGATAGTGCCAGCGTGTTCGGACCCGGCCGTAGCGGCGTAAAGGCACAGTGCGAAGGTATTATACTGCCTGCTGACATGGTTGGAAGGTGGAAGCAACTTTCACTTGAACGTGGTCCAGGCACTAACAACAAAGCTGGTGATTGCGGGCCGACAATTTACTGAGGTAGGGTGTACTGGGGTGTTAGGGAGATGCTATGACATCAAAGAGATGTTTTCTAGCATCTCCCATTTCGTGTTTAGGGACGAGGTGCATCAATTATTGGCACTTTTTCATGAGATGAACTGGGTAGGCGTGCAGGTGTTGGCCAGGGGGAAAGAGTGCACTCTGACCAGGAGGAGGAGGATGGTGGAGGGATATGTGAGGGTCGGGTTCGATGATATTAGGAGACTAGTAGACTAGTAGACTACGACTTGGACAACGCATTTATGATGTGCGGTGGCAAAGTGAAGAGAAGTGGTAGGGATACCGATGGGCAAAACCACCATTCGGATTTTTCCCATTGTGACATGCGCAATGGCGGAGAGGAAGTTCCTGGCAACGTTGGGTGCGGATAGAACATTGGTGAGGGGATGGAGTGTGGTGGAAGATGTGTCCATAATTGTTGGATATAGGGGCGGAGGCTCTTACGGAAAGGCGAAAGAGATTATTAGGAAGTTTGAGGGGGCGTACAATTGGAATCTGCTCCTCGTAAGGAAGGATGAGGGGGTGAACGTGTGGCGCTTTGTCGGTGGTACGATGATGCTGATGGAAGATCCGGTCCAAGTGCATTTCACGAACAAGAAGAAGAACATGAAGTCGATGAGAGAAGGAGTCACTCAGATACCAAGCAATGCAAGACTTTAATTCGTACACCGAGAAGAAGATAAAGAAGGTCGTGCTTTCGGCCACATTGAAGAGACTTTCGGTATTTTTAGTGACCTCAACAATGACAGGAGCATTAGTAGCATTCTCAGTAACTAAGGCCTACGTCCGGGGGTAAACCCTGGAGGTTTGTCTGAGCGCCTTGGCCAATTTGGCCAAGGATTCAGGGGCTAACATTTTTATGCTCCTGCAGAATGGTTACGCACGTATCTGGGAACCGAGAGGGCGGAGGAGTGGGATGTAGGAAAGAACCGGTGTATGTGAGCGGAGCCCGAATGTGGGTTTTGGGGTGAGAGGGGACGACACTAGGCCCGGAAGGTTCATACCTCAGAACCCGACTTTGAACAAAGTCCGGAGTTCGATCGGCCTCGTTCGACAGTTGATGTTCGTTGTTTCCCCCCCCCCCAACCTTTTTTTCCATTTTTTTTAAATTTTCCTGTTCTTTTCCTTTTCTTGTTCTATTCCTCTCTGCAGTAACTCAGCCCAAATCTGCATTGCCGCGGGCGAAGGGTCGTCACTTTTGGTCAAAGGTAAAAGCAGAAGGTACGAAAGAAGGAAAATATTGGTGTTGCATGCACCCATCAGGAAACTGTCAAGTACACTGCGATTGTCTGTAAGTCGTGTTGGTTCTGCAGCTCAATTGAAAGCTATGAAACAAGTGTGCGGTAGTCTTAAACTACGTCTCGAGCCTGGAAAATGTTTGAGTAAAGACCTAGGGTCATGGTGTATCCTGGCCAGAGTCGAAAACTGCATCCAGAACCCTCACGAGAGACAGTTGTTTTTTGGAAAGTCAACGCTCAGACCCAGCACAGGAAAACCAGGCCCAAAGTTAAAGTCAACCCGCTGGTCAGCCACGACCGTCGATCAGATGCACTTCGTTGGTTGTCTGCAGGTATCCAGACAATTCCAGTCCCAGTGGGACACAAGGGAAATTGGGAACTGCGTTGCATCCAGGCCATTGCTTTTCGATTCATCTGGGCCGTCGACCCAAGGAGAGGCTGGTCAACGCGAGTCAATGCTATATAGAGTTGACACAACCATTGTGGGAATCATTTTGCCTTGTGCTGGCTTGATGCTAGTGTCGTGACGCGCGGCTGCTTGAGCAATATGCTGGCGCCAGATAGCCTTGAGGGAGATTATGCTGGAGCGGCCATTGCAGCAGAGATATAGACTAGGAGGAAGCTATTGGCGAGAGGAGGACAACCAGGGCTGTGAGACTGAGAGGAGAAGTGGGAAAGCTTACCTGGCTTACCTGGCGACGACACATGTGATTTGCTGTTTTCTCCACGAGGGTGAGGAAGTGCTGCTCCATCCTCCATTTTGGATTGCTGACGTGGAAGGAGGATGGGCGCCCTGTTCTGATCTGCACAGCAGTTATGTCAGAGGACTGTCAGGGGGATCATGCATTGCTGAGGTGTTGTTTGGGAAGAAGCCCGAAGTAGGAGCGGGAGAGAGGAAGACATACATGTTCTATTGATTATCGTTGAGACTCTCCTCCTCCTCTCCGTGTCTCATCTCGTCCCTTACTCTTCTCTCGTGCTCTTCTTTGACGGGATAATACTCCTGAATTGTGCTTTTGATCGAGACTTGGACTTGCAATTGACGATTGGAGACTTCACGAGTCACGCTGGGTTCAGACTTCTATTGCATTGCTGATTAGCTTTCCTACAAGACTGGATTCATTATACTCCCGTTTTCTTTTCTTTTCTTGTTCTTTTCCTTTTCTTATTCTCTTCCTTTTCTTTCCTTTCTCGTTGCTCGCATTGTTTTCTTTCTTTTCTGATTGTTGTCTTTGTTTTCTTTTCTTTTCTTTTCTTTTCTCTTCTATTCTGTGCGCCGGTCTCGACACTGTCCGTCGTTTCCTTTTCCATAGCAAGACCAGAGCGAGTGAGGACCGGGTAAGAGAGGGAAGACCGAAAACAGCCAAGTATGGATCTTGATCTGGATGGAGGAAGGGTCGGGACCGGATGCATGCACGGAGGATAGCATGACCTCGCACGAAAACATAGCGCGCAGGACTGTTGTGTTACTGGCTGAACGATGAGGATCGCCGTTCGACATGCGGTTTTCGGTTTTCTTTCGTTTTGAATCGTGGGAGGAGGGCGGGAAGCACGGGCAAATAAATAAGACGTGGGCTACGCATCTTGATATCTGAAGATAGAGAGGGACAAAAGAATAGCACAGGACCAGGTTTTTTCACGTTCAAATGTGGACGATTTTGTGGCTCTGGTATGGAGATAGGGGCGGAAGAAAGAATAGCATGGGACTAGGCTTTTTCACGTTCGAATGTGGACGATTATGTGGCTCTGGTATGGAGATAGGGACGAAAGAAAGAACATCACGGGACCAGGGTTTTTCACGTCCGAATGTGGACGATTTTGTGGCTCTGGTATGGAGGATACGAGGGATAGTTTCTTTGAGTGTGTTTCGTTTGTTCCGTGGCATGTATGTGGTAGGAAATAGGAACTGGTACTTCTCGAATGAAGAGACGAGCTGCAAATTCAAAGAAGAAACAAGGAATGTTTGAGACAAGACACTGGCTACGACGGCCGTGGTCGGACGTGGTCGGATGTGGGCTAAAGATGGGCAGATCCACTGGTTCCTACACTGCGTGTGTGCAGAAGTAGGAACGTATATCTATCTGGAGAGACAAGGTGTAGGTCTCTTGGATCGACTGAAGAGCGCAGGGAGTTCACCCTTCTGAGGATTCCGTTGCGCGGTCGGATGAAATGCGTAGAGGGAAGCTACGTTGCCGGTCTTTAGATAGGGAGAGTGTGCTTGAGGAGTATTGGATACATAATATACTGTGATTGTGGAAGAAGGGAGGATGAGAGGAGCAAGGGACTTATATATGATGAATGAGAAACTATTGTGGTACGCTTCGTATATGGTCCACGAGTGGTTGTGTCGGTCTGGGCATGATTGCTCGATCCTGTCCTTTCTCTCACTGTCCACCTCTGTACTTCTACTCTTATGCTGACTAAGTGCTCCTTGTTCAGGCGGTTGCCGCCATGTGCCTCGTAGCGACCTCAAAGAAGTCTCCCCCTGATGAGGTTGGGTTCTGGCACAGGCTGAAACCGGTCTTGGACTGCTGGCGCCTTCATCTTCGTCGTCTTCGTCTCGCCCAGAGGGTGACTCCATAGCCCTGCTTTGGTGTTAGTAACCCTTGCTGAGGTGGCGATGGGCTGCTTATTTCTTCGTCAACGACGTCAAGTTGAAATTTTACGCTATGAGCAATTGGCTCATTATCTTTACATTTCAACTCCTTTGTGAATGTGTTGGACTGCGGTATCTGACCGTGTGTCCTGCCGTCTCACAGAAGAATGTGAAAGGCTGCTGCTGTAAATAAAGGTACTACGGATCCTCTGCGATCCAGCATTGAATCATTTTGGTTGACTTCACTGGTATTACCTGAAGGCTGTGTTGTTACGAGATGTCGTTTCGCCCTTGCGGCACAAGGGGTGGGGGGGAGGGGATGGGGAAATGCTATGACTCCCAAATAATTGGGAGAGATGTCCATGTAACTATGAAATCTGATTGACCCTTCGTGCTGTCTGCTGATGATGGATGAACCACAACATGGACTGATATGAACAGAGTCTATTATTGTTTTTTTTTTTTTTTTTTTTTCTCCTGTTTGCAGCAACTTCCAGCGTTTTCAACTTGTCACATGCAGCAAATTGTGCATGCTTTTGTGTGCAAAGGACATTTTGGCCGTCCATCGTGGTGCTATATCTCGATTCTCGAATGATTGCCCCCCTACTGCATGGTGATGATGGAGCAACCGGCGAACCCTATGGAAGACTTCATCAGATCCAATGGATCCGGGTTTCAAAAGACTCTTCTATGTAAGATATGCTGATGATTTTGTTATTATCATAACAGCAGGATCCAGAGCAGATGCTGTCGAGATCAAAAGGTTGGTGACTCAATTCTTATCTGAAGAGCTTAAACTGGAGCTTAATCAGCAGGTGCGAAGCACAAAAAGTCATAATGGGATATCTCTCCTAAGTACCCAAATTCATGCCGTGAAATGGAAGGCACAAAATCAAGTCTCTTGGGTTAGGCGCGAAGCGCACGGAAAAGTATACCGAAGAAGGATAAACCCGAGACTCATTCTCCGCCGAGCCCCTATCAAGGAGCTTGTAGAAGGACTTGAGAAGTATGGACTTCCGTTTGGCAGCAACTGTCACAACACGACACTGATCCGAACCAAGTCGTGTTCGTCTGTACTGTACCAAGTCTTCATGGCTGTCTTCTGATGCCGAACGCTGCAATTTCCCATTCATATGGAAAAATGGGAAGGCCAGTTTGGGCTGCGGCAGAGTTTCAATGATCAGCTTGCTGCTCAGGTTTGGCAGCAGCAATTAGCTTCAGTTAAAGCAAAACCTAAAATGGGTGCGATTAAGTCAGGCCTCAGTTAGAGAAGGGCAAAGGAAGCACGCGTACAACAACAAGGGCAAGAGCAACCTTTGGAGGTTATAGCATGTACAAGTTTTTGGCAAAAGTGACGAGGAGTTTTCCATCGGAAGGGTTTTCATACCGAATTTGGCTTTCATTATGGCCAAACATGTGCTTGAGGCTGACATTGCGAAATGCTTTGATCGAATCAAAACCTTGTGCCCCTTGGAAAACCTAGGCACATGTCCAGTTATGAGGAACCGGGATAAGGTCTGGTTGAAAGCAGCAGACATTATGACTGGTTTTGCCAACCGGCCTGTAACTATATTTAACTCTGTCGAGCCTCAAGGTTCCGAGAAAGAACAGTAGTAGCAGCATCTAAATGACCGAAGGTAGGAGCAGGAGCTGAATCAGTTAAGATCGTCTCTAGCCTCCAGGTACATGAGCTTCTTGACTAGAAGAGGTAATAGAGCCCTCTTTTGTCGTAGCAATCCTTTCTTGGAACGAGCCCCGGTCTAAAAGGATTCTTCCTTCTGAGAGTCGAAGAGACAAATTTGTCATGTTTGTAAAACTTCTTGCATAGAAGAGGTAATAGAGCCTTCTTTTGTCGATTGGAACGAGTCCCGGTCGAAAAAGGCGCTTTTTGGAAGGTCGAAGAGACAAATTTGTCAAGTTCGTAAAGGACAGCCTTACATAAGAGCTGTGAAGCACAGGCTCGCAATACGTTGTGGAATTCCTCCTACTCTGGGATTATGCACTTCGCCTATACCAGTTCTGTATCCCCCTTTAAGCGAGACCCTTTCATCAGCGCTAGGAATTTCTCTCAGGCAATTTCTTTTTTGATAATTTGCAAATTTGCATGATAACGACAATAGCCGGTCCATACTGTTTAGAGAGCTGCAATTGCATGTAACACTCAGGACGTGCAGATTGGCCAACAGGCCCAACACTTACTTCCTTTTCTTGGAGGAATTTCCTCAGCTTGACGTCAAAATAGGGCCGGACAATGTGACCTTGCTGCGCTGTTAGGAAGCACACAGAATGGTACAAGAAGTTCATGAACCGCGAATCTCAATTCTCTCGTCTCGACTCAATCAATTCTCTTGTCTCGACCCAATCAATTCTCTCGTCTCGACCCAAGCAAGTGCACACACAGCCCAAGGCCAAGGGCACAGTTCTTTGACACAGTCGGTCAATCATGGGCTAATGTCTGCGTGCCCTGCGCCTGTGAAGCCTGGTGAGGCCCAGTACCATTCCTTTTTTTTTTCTGACTTTTGGAGAGGAAAATATTCAGACCTGCTGCAGTCACAACAGTGGGAAAAAGCAGGCCGTCCTGGTCCTATGTGGTGGTAGTTTAAGCTTTTGATTCTCGCTTCAACCGACTGAATTCCTAGATCGGAATAGCAGTTCATGGGTGCATGCTAAATCCTCAGCTGTCCCATAAGCCGCATAAGTCAGTCATGCAGTCGCAGTCGATAGTTATTTTTGACAGCGATTGAATTGGTTTGGGGACCAGTGGGTTCCCTTCCCCTCCCCTGCTTTCCCCAGATCGTCAACCCTTAGTCGCATCTAATTTTGGAGAGTCAACTCTGCTCCTAACGATTTAGGGTTGGGTTCGAGGATTGCTTGTAGTGGTGGGCAGGTCAAATATCAGCAGAACATGGGGGCAATCATCCCCGCAGTGCTGATTTCGCTGCTAGGTTCGCCCTAGCGATTTGCACCTGTGTTGATATATACTTGAATGTCCTTGGATGGGCTTCGCAACTTTTGCTTTATTGAAGTTTCTTCGTTTTCCTAAGGTAGCACTGATCGACAAAATCCACAGATAAGGAGCAGTGCAGAGAAGGTTTACGGAGGCTAAGCAAAGTCAGCCAGAGCAGCAGTTCAGCCTACCCTTTATTTGTTGCCAAGGTCGTACTCAGCATAACCTAAGGAGTGCAAGTTTCACGGAACTCGCTGCGAAGACTCAAGCTCGGCGTGAAAAGTTGCAGGTGCTGCAATGCCAAGTGAAGTGGAGGAATGGCTAAGGAGGGTTGAATCCCATCATCGGCAACGCTTGAATGCCGAAGCCAGAGAATGGCTGTTCGTCGTACCAGAGGAAGAAGGGGAAGGAATCCTTCGGCGGCTCTATTGCGAGGAAAGTCCAGGAGACCTCTCCTCCGCAATCATGTATGCGATTCATGGAAGCCACTCAGTGGATCATGCTGCTGTTCACTGTGCGGAGGATAGGCAGCAGGCATTGTACATGGTGGAGCAGCCCGACACGGATTGTGAAGAAGACGTGGTACAGCGTGGTGGATCATCTTCTGAGGCTGGTGATTCAGACGGGTGGTCCTGCGTTGATTATCAGGAAAGCTCTGGCAGTAGCTATGTGTATCACGAGGGGTCCGGAGAAAGTGATAGCCCTTATCCAGGGGTACCTCATGCCGGTTCCTCTACGAGGTTGCAAGGTGGTAGGTTGCGCTCTCCGTCCCTTGTCTCTGAGCCTGCCTCCTGTGTATCTGCGGCGAGTGAGCGCTCAGGGAGTGTTTCTCCTGATTCAGCCGAAAGGCGATCTCCATTTGGTTGTCAGCAAGACGGAGGAGAATACGAGTACCAGTCACCAGAAGCTGGGCCCCGAGCCCATCAGTGGGGCTCCACACAGTTGCAGGGGAATCATCTTCGTCATGTTGCGCGTGCGGAGCGTAATCAGCCCGAAAGCCCTTCGCTGGCTTATTGGCATACAGACGTCCAGAGTCCTGAGCTGCTGTCCTCGCCAATTCATGATCCTGAGGCGGTGTCCTCGCCAATTCGTACTCCTGAGGTGGTGTCCTCGCCAATTTGTGGTCCTGTGCCAGTGTCCTTCCCAATTCACGAAGGATCGGTGTGCAGCTGGACTACAGCGTTTGGTGAACTGGACTTCAGAAAACGTATCTTGATAATGTGGTATTTTGAAGAAGAAAGGTACGCCCAACTTTCAAAAGTATTTCCAATGAGCGCCAAGCATGCATGCTCATGATTATGTCCCTCTTTTTTTCCTTTCCAGCACCAGCG